ATCTCAGGGAGATAGTTCCTGATGTGCTGTCGCACAATGCTGACCAGCGTCGCCAGCTGGTTAAAGTATGACTCCAGGCGTGTGGGAGGGCACGATCGAATGACAAGCAGGAACGCAGGGACGATTCTATCCAAGAACGACACGCATTCCAATCCCAGAGTTCTGAATATGTTCATGATGGCCTCGATAACAGCAGCATGATGCTGCGCCAGAGAGTGGTCTTTGAGAATTTGAAGGAGCGCGTTGATGACAACGGTTGGGAAATATTCCTTGTTGGACGGGGTCAATCCAGTCATCATCAACGATATATCCGTTAACTGGTTAGACTCGGAGCGTCGCTGCGAATCGGGTGTCTTTTCCTCGACCTGCTGCATGCTGCAATTAGCCAACTCGAGATTCTTTCTTGGATTGTGTTGTGAAGAAGGGTGGAAGGGTGTAGGAAAGGGGGCGGTCCGCTTTGCTCACCTGATGTTTATACGGATCCAGCGCACCCAAGATACCCATCAGCTTGATGGTCTCTTGTCGCAAAGGGCCTCTCTGGTCCTCCGTCCTTATAATGGCTTGTAGGATTTCCAACAATTGAGGATACTCCAAGTATGGTTGTATGACATATCCAGAATTGCTCGCCAGCTGGCCAAGGGAGTGGAGAGCGGCCTCTCGCTTGATATTTGAGCTCTGGTCTTGCAAGGCATCGATGATGAGCGGCATCAGACGGTCCTTGTATGGCAGCATATCCTCGCCGCCTACAGTGGCCAGCTCTCCAATGGCTTTCAGGATGGTGGCAGCGACCGTGGGGCTAGGGTCACTGGCCTTGGGGAGAAGGACGGAGATCATTGGCTCGACATATGGCTTGATGAGCGACTGTGCGTTTTGAACCAAGAGGCTCAGGAGCTTGGCGCTCTCCTCCTTATTCCGCGCCACATCAGAGAACTCGAGCTCGGTAAGCATCTGGATGAGCGTCTTCCGCAGGGACGGAATAACATATGCCGGGTTGTACCTCGCAAGGCGACCAATAATCGATATCGCCACTTCTCTGATGGAGAAGACCTCGTCATTCAGCGCGAAGAACAGGATTCGAATGTTTTCCGCCTTGGCCAGGTGGCGATCGAACCGTTCGTCGAGGGCGGCCAGCACCGTCCGCCGAATGTTGGGCTCTGGGTCAGATATCCCCACTGTGAGCAGCTTTTCGATCACGTCTCCAACGACCTGTAGGGCATGATAACTAGTCTGGTTGACAATTGGATCGCGAACGTAGAGCTGACAGCAAGTAAGCGCCGCGGCTTCTCTGATTTCCGGATCTTCGTCCTCAACGTACTTGATAGCCACGTCTCGGACAAACTCGTTAAGAACATGGCCGGAGAAGTCGAAGCTCCCCAGGGTGTTCAAGGCAAGCTTGATCTCCGTCTTGCGATTCTCGTACGCCTGGGGATCCTTGGCGTCTTTGGTAATCGTAGGCACCGCAGTCAGAGTGTTTGGCTGGGGCGCGCCGAGGGGTTTGAAGGGCTCGCCACAAAGGACAATGCTCAACATGTCCAGCAGCCTCTCCTGGATGATGGGTTTGACAGGGGGGATATAGAATGCCATGTCGACCAAGGCCTGCGTCAATTTGGGCGTCAAGTCGCACGCAAAGATGGGGTCGAGAAGCGCCTCCATGTACTTGCTGAGTGTCTGGCCGACAGCTACGGCAAGGCGGCTGATGCAGTCGAAGACCGGGTCCACGGAGCCCCTCTTGCGAGACTGTACGCTGAGGCCCTCTCTCACGTAGATGAGAACACCGTCCAGATAGGGGGCAATAGCGCTCTTAACGGAGTTTGCGATGTTACCGATGGCGAGGAAAGCATCATTGCGCTCCTTATCCTTCTTCAACATGCCGGAAAGGTAGACCATGAACTTGTGGAGCCATGACTGGGCGAAGTCGGCCGGTGAGTAGCTTGCCAGATCTGGTATCAGCAACACCACCGTCTTTCGCGTGGTCGGATCACGGTGGTCCTTGTGCTTGAAGACGATCTCGCAAGCCTCCTGGTAATGCTCCTGCATGAACATGCCTCCCTGTTCCAAGAGCTCCTTCAACACAAGCAATGATGCGTGGATCGACTCGACCGTGTTGACTTTGAGACCCTGTCTCGCCTCATTGTAGATCTTGCTCATCCAGATTTGCTTCATCTCCTGGTCTCGCTCGCGAATGATGCGGAAGCAGGCGCTGACGGTCTCAGCCGAGGTCTCACGGATCAGCTGCCTCTGATCGCGAAGTCCGACCCAGATCCAGTCGAAAATGGTTGGGATATACTGATACATGAGGGTGGGGGCATTTCGCGCAAGCTCACGCAGGACGAGAACGGCGCTGTACCGACGCTCCTCGACTCGGTCGTTCTGCAGCCACTCAAGCGCAGTATTCACCTCGGAGTCGACCAGCTCTGAGATCATGGCCCCTCCTGGGCGGCAAAGTTTCCCGAGGGCAATCGCAGCATGCCGCATAGGCATGGTGTCCTTGCCACGGAGGATTGTTTTAAGGTTCTGGGTGAAACGGGTGTACTTTGCCGCCACGTCGACGCCCTCGAAGTCAACGAGGGCGTCCAGGGCATAGATGCCGCCTAGCCTCTCTGCGGAGTCGCTGCCATGTGTAATGAGCTGCGTGATCTTGTTGTTGACGTTGTTGTAGAATGTGAGGAACTGCTCGGGGCTGAGGTCTGCACGGGCGGTTAACGGAACGGCTCTTGAGACGCCGGAGAAGGGGGCTCGACATCGCCTTACCTCGGTGGCACACAGTCACCAGCTCTCGAAGTTGAATTGCGGCTCGCTTGCGCACCTCATCGTTGGCTCTGGGGGTGGGCGACTGGTCAGCGGCGTCATTCCTCCATCAACAGCCACCGGCAAAACATCCCCCTCCATCACGCGGGCCCTCACCTTGACCGCAATCCCCTCGTGATATAATCGAGCCGCTCAAGGGCGACCTGCTGTGCCTGCGCCATCGTCCCCAAGTCGGCTGGAGCTTCAACAGAAGCACCGCATGTACCGCACCGAGGCCGAAGGTCGCAGAGGCTCGACTACGAGGCCGTAATCGAAAGCGGAATCGAGAGCGCACTCGGGAAATGGAATGACGCGCGATAGACGTCGCTGCTGCGAGGGGCGTAAAAGATTCGTAGAGGGTCGCCGCAGGGGTATAACAATGAAGGATTGTGACACAAACAAAAGGAATGCCTCGTTGGCAGCCCAAGGTCACGTTGTCATGATGCCCCCGACAAGCTGCTTGTCGGATTAATGAAGGTTGGGTAGGACAAGGAAAGGTCCGTTAGCTCAGAGCTTGGAGGATTGGTTCACTGCGCGTTTGTCTGCACTGTACATGCACTGTCTCTCCATCGGTAATGCGGGGGCGCGACACAGTTTGTCGGTCGGACTGCTGGCACGGGGCTGGCACATGAGGCTCGGAAAGTGCTATCGATAACGGCAGAGGTGGGCCGCTAGCATCTCACTTGCGCGGCTTAGCTCAAGGCACCTCTTCATCTTCAGTCTTCCGAGTTCCGCCACAGGCCCAACGCATTGCTAACATTGTTCCAATTGCCGCCACCGCAAGCGACGATTCAGCATACAAATCTGCTCCAGAGCCCTGAATCACCGCACGCAATCATCACGGCCAGCAGCCATGGGTAACGACGGCGGATCCATCCCCAAGCGCCGTGAGCTCGTCAAGAACGCGGCGCGTGCCCCGACAATTTCAGAACTGAAGGCGACAGCCCTCGAGTCTCTCGCCCATGCGTGGACTCACTGCGCCCTCAGCGGCACGCCGCTCGACTTCGAGGCGGTCGTTTCGGACTGGCGGGGGCGGTTATACAACTACGAAGCCATTCTCAACGGGCTGATGCCCTCCGAGGACCCCAACGAACTGACCCCGGCAGCCCTGGGCATCCGCTCGCTGCGTGATGTGGCAAAGCTGAAGTTTTCCAAGACTGGCGATAAATGGGCCTGCCCGATCTCCATGAAGGAGATGGGACCAGCGACAAAGGCTGTCTACCTGGTGCCGTGCGGCCACGTCTTTGCAGAGGTTGCCATTACAGAGATAAAAGAAAAGGCCTGCCCAGAGTGTGGAGAAGGCTTCACCCAGGAGAATGTGATAGCCATCCTGCCAACTGCTGAGAAAGAACTAGACAGGCTGCAGAAGCGCATAGAAGACTTACAGGCAAACGGCCTCACCCATACGCTCAAGAAGGGCAAGTCGGAGAAGAAGAAGAAGCGGAAGGCCGGAGAAGCGGCAGAGGAGGAGGATGCAAGCGCAGAGAAGAAGGACGAAAAGGCCAAGAAGAGCGATGCCAGCCGAGCGAAGAAAGAACCCGACGCGAGGATCAAAGGCATCAACAACTCGATGGCGGCGACGTTGACGGCTCGCGTGTTGGCAGAGCAAGACGAGAGGAACAAGCGCAGGAAACTAGCTCAGGTGGCTTCGTGAGTGCAGATACCGGACCACTTGGATGGATGCCACTTAGACCATTTCGTATATTACATGTAGAGACTGATGTATGAATGATACCCCTTTTATTTTCAGACTAGTTTGTTGCCTTGTTTGCTTGAGTCGGGCCCCTAGTCGAGTGTTAGAAGGCTACTATACGAGTATACCAACTTTCACGTCATTCGAAGAGATGGTCTAAAAGGTTGAGCCTCAAGCGATTCTGGAACCGGCGTGCCTGGTTGCTGCGTCCAAGAATAGCACAGAGCCCCAACAAACTCGAGAATGCGCCCGTGTGATGCCCATCTCAACGGCTCGAGCCCGAACACCCCTAGTCCGCATCCTTCGAGAGCGCTGGCCAGCGTGACATGACATTGGATGCTCATATTCGAAGCCTACTATTAATGCTCAACTCCATATAACCTACTAATCCTACACGCTAATAATACATCATGTTGTTCCGTGAATCCCAAAACGCTCCATATCTGCATGTGTCTCGTACAAGTGACTCCTTTGTATCTGCTCCATCATCCGGTCCGCGCTGGTTCGTGCCGACTCGAGTTCACGCCCGCCTGGCTGTTGACCCGATATTACCAGGTACACCAGCGGAGCTTTGCGACATGTACCGCTCCAGCTCAGCTGCATCGCCCTGATACCCCGGGCCTGGAGTCGTCGCATTGTACGATCGCGCCACCAGGCGATCCGGCACGTTTGTCCTGTCATACAGAAACCGGTCGAGCATGGCTGTGCTGTCGACGATGGCGTGCGTTAGCGGACATAGCCGAGTTGATGGCGGTTGTTAGTGGGCGGATGGGGGGATGGAGCCCGGGAGCTAGCGGTGGCTAGCGGCTGTAGGGGGGTAAAATCACCTGGAGGGGGAGCGGCTTGAGGCTGAGGGCGCGGTGCCGTTGTGCTGGGTTGGCTGCTGAGAGCTCATGGTTCAAGGGTTGAGAGGATGCGAGATCGGATTGTCAATGGTTCTACCAAAGGGCTAACAGCTTGATATTGCGGCAATTGTGTCGATATCGATATTCTAAACCAGCAGAACTGACCATCTGGGCGCTCATCTACTTCTCAACGAGTCCTTTTCGTCTCTTTATATCGAAGCTCAACGGCCATCTTGACCGTGACTGTCTACAGATACCACATGTAACTTGGAACCTACCTTTGCAGGGCTCGCAGCTTCACGAGTCGTGAACAACGCAGACTTGAGCCCAGAGCAAAGCCAGTTGAGCCTCAAGGTCTGAAAAGCAAGGCTCATCCAACGCCTCCGTGATTCTCCAGTCCGTCTCCATGAGCCAACGAGAAGACAGAAGTCAAGGAGAGATGCCAGATAAACAGGGCATCAATATGGAGAGCAGGTCCACGGCAGCCGCCATCAGTCAACTACAATGCAGGAGCTCTCGACTTGTCCGCGCTACTTCTATTTTCATCCCTCCTCATATTCTCCGTCCGGCCATTGTCCAGAAAACAAGTGTTATCTTTCCTCCATCATCATCGTCAACCATCACAACAACGGCAATTCAAAATTGTGATGGGCACGCACTCCATCCGTCCTGCCTCCCTACGCGCTCGACTAATGCGCGCCGTCCCGCCGGATCAGAGATTAAGGCGCATCCTTCCCAGGGGAGGCATCGAAACAGTGAGACGATGACAGACATCGATCAGCTGGCGCTTATCGAGAACCCCAGTCGCCTGCTCCAGTCGACGAGATGAGGTACTCTTCTAGGCCAGTCCTGGCCGTTGTCGTCTGGCCGCGTTTGGCTGCCCGCCAGACGCATCCCCGGACCACGACGCCGTATCAGGAGGGTCCCACGAGATCGAGAACCAGGACTCGGCCACTGGCTGGCGTCTGTCAAGATGCGAACCATAGGGCTGCCTTGCCAGATCGTCTCTGCCTGCGCCAGCAGTGCTCCCCATGCAACAGCCGTCACCATGAGCGAATCAGAAGGCGCAGCTCCCTGGCTCGACCCCACGAAGGATGCCGTCCCATGGCCCAGCTGGGCAAAGGCAGGGCCCAAAGCACGACACTAGAGCCAGTAGGCAATCATCCAGGACTGCAGAATGGGGCCCGGCGAAGGCATCCAGGTTGGGGACTTTAGCGGTCCGCGAGGCATTCCCAGCGCCGTGATGTCGCGATACAATACGGAAGAGGGCCGCCGATATAGTATTAGGCATGTCGCACCTACGGACGATAAGGCTTCCCGGAGAGGCAGCCTCTCTTTTCTTTCTCTCTTTTCTTTCTCTCTTCTCTTCAACTTCTCCTCTATCTTCTCATTAAGTGCACCTAAACCTATATTCAGGTTAATTTTGTATGTAAGTTGACTTCTACCTCTTCTTTCTTGTCCTACTCCTCTGTTACATCGACCGTCTTCGTCTATCGCCGTCTTTCATAATGGCGCTGTGAGCAACCCACTGACACGGGGTCAGAGCCTGGCGCTCCTGCAAGCCAAAACTGCCTCTTATAATAACAAATCAGCCTCCTCAGCACTTCATGACACTGCGACGGGCCAGCTTCTCAGCGGCTCACTCCATGGCCGAGAATTCAATTGAACAGGGAGACCGCAGACCAGGCATCACTGTCAACCACATACCCTTACATCTGCAGCGGGATTTGCGAAACAAAGACTCGCTCAACGACAAGCCCTTGGCCGCACCCCAGTCCGGCAGCGAGAGCCAAAGTCTCTCTGCCACCTTTGGCCAACGGAAACACTTCCCTGAGAGCCTACACTTTCCGCCGAATACGTTTCGCCTGCGCTCAAGAACAGCATCGACAAGAAGCAGCATCTCGTCGGCAAACGTGCCCGACTCTGCCACTACCTACTCGCACTCAACGCTGGCCAGTCCCATCAGCACGAGCTACGCCAGCGACCTCAGCGACATCTTCTGTGGCTACCCTGCCGACTCTTCGCGTCCGGCCAGCCGAGTGTTTCATCGACACCGATCCTCGACGGGATCGTGCTCAACCCATGTCAACGACGATGATGACGGCTACTCTTTTGCAGGCTACCCAGATCTCAGCGCGAAGCTAGGGGAGATTCACGTCGCCACGCCAGTCACTCCTGTTCCTTTGGGCGAGGGGGACTGCCTGAAGCAGTCTACAAGGCAAGCACAGAAGTTCTGCAGAGGCAGCTCATGAGCTCGTGATTATTGACTTTTGCCGTCAGCTCGTCAAAGGTTTCCCCCATTAAGGAGGAGGAGGAGAGCTCGACTCCCGGCGACTCCCACGAATGGCCGCAGCTGGAGACGTCTACTATTGAAGCCTCTACCTCGTCTAGGTGGGACACGGCATCCTCCACATCGGATGACGTTTCCTCTCAGGACACAGAGGCCATTCTTGACTATACCCTTCAATTGGTGTTTGGAATTGATCTTCAGGAGGAGGCGTCCAAGGTGACGCCGGCGGTGCGAAATCTGGTCTGCAAGTTTGTCGGCGATGTAGGCAGCTGTTTCTGGGCCGCACCCTCAGACGCCGACATGACGCAAGCTATGTCGACATCAAGCAGCTCATCGACGCCGTCTCAGGGAGGTAGCGGCGCTGGCGACTCTCAGTCGGGGGGCAAGAGAAAGAAGCAGGGCCGAGGCGACGAGGACGACGGCGAATTCAGCGACGGCGAGGGCATGGGGTACAACCCTTCCAAGAAAATACGACCAAATCCCAAGGAAGAGGAAAACTTGCGCCTGAGCTGTCCTTATAGAAAGAGGAACCCTTCCCGTTTCAATGTCAGGGACCACCATAGCTGTGCCATGACATACTTTCCCAAGTTTGCTGAGCTGAGGTACGCTACAATACTGAGTTGTCTCTCGCATACGCATCCCGTATGCAGATGAACCGGCGCTGACACACTCCCACAGACAGCACATTGTCAAACAGCACAAACGAGACGACCCGTCCGCATTCGTTTGCGACAGATGCAACCGTGATTTTCACACCCGCAAAGAGCTTCGAGATCACCAGCGTCTGCCCAAGGAGATGATGTGCGACATTCTGGATCACGATCCCGAGTCTGGGGTGGATGGAACTACCTCGATCAAGCTGTTGTCCCGCAAGAGGGTCAGTGGCGCTTCCCCCGAGGCACAGTGGAAAGAGATTTGGAACATCCTCTTTCCAGACGATGAGGACCACCAGATCCATCAATACCGTATGTCGTCAAGCCTATACCTATTGAAAAGTCCGTGGTATGACAGAACACCTCGCTAACGTTGGTTGGCAGACTTTACTCCTGTTATTGAGCACTTTGAGCTCTCCAATTACTACATGTCCTCGTTCGAAGTCTTGCACTCTTCGCTCCGTGACAAGATTTCGAATCCTCAGACGCTGGAGACGTTGACGACCAAGTTTCAGCAGTGCTTCATGGAGGCTGTGGAACGATGCATCGGCGCCGCCCAGAGCATGCCCTACACGAATCGCAGCAACAAGAGAAATGAGCCACCCCGAGCACAGAGCTTCCAGCCCCTCATGGCGCGAAAGGGAAGGGATATCCTCCCCCGCCCTGACTCTGGAGTGGTCATGATGAGCGATGAGTGCTCCGAAGAAAGCAACAGCATCAGAAATTCTGCCCTCGGCGGTCCTCGAGACAGTGTGCGAACCGTCGTCAAAGATGATATGCGAAGGCGTGGGAGCAACCTGGCACCCGAGCCCTCGGCATTGCCTACGCCGGCAGCAGTGAGCATGATGGACCATAGCTTCTCGAGCCACATGTCGTTTATGCCTCCGATGGGCGTCAGCGGCCCGATGAACTCCGTCGCCGTCCAGTCGTGGAACAACAACGTGGCGGATCCTAATGACGGAGACATTGGCAGCAGCTTTCCGATGACAGACCAGTTTTATGCCCCGGGAGAACTCACACCGCATGGAGACTTGGGAAACTGGGACGAAGGATATTACCAGTCGTTCCAGGGCTTGGGCGATCGATTTCACGGCTTCGGAGGAGCCCTCCACTGATGTACTCTTGAATCAACTGCTGAGTTTGACATCAAGGGGTGTCTGTCGACCTTGTATCAGTAATTGTACTATTAGCCATTTGCATTTTCACCGGCACATACGGACTACATATATATATAGTAACTATTTAATATGCTTGACCTCTTTCAGTGCTAATACAATAGCCAAGACAGGATACCCTTGAGCTTGTTGATGCGTCTAATACTTCCACTGGAAAGCTGGATGCTTCCAGTCCAAGCTCTCAATCTGCTCCTGCGTCAAGCCTGTCAACTCAGCATCAACGTCTCTTCTCCCCCGCTTCTTATTATCGCGCTTCATCCACAGCAGCATCACCGTGCCAAGAACCAGAATGGTACCAGAAGTTGCCAAGTTGAGCCCGTTCCCAATGTGATAGTCCGGGGCGTCAAAGGGGAGAAAGGCCCAAGAACTAATCAGGCCGCCAATATTAGCCGCCATGACGTTGGTCGCAATGGCCGCGCTGCGAGCGGTGTCGCCGACGACATTCGCGGCAACGTGGGCGTTTGTCAGGGCGCCAAAGGAAAAGGCCGAGGAGGCGACGAGGAAGGTCGCGCCGTAGCGGACCTTGGGCTCCGCCGAGCCGAGGAACATTGCGTAGCCGACCATGACCATGGGCGCGGAGGCGACGATGAAGATCTGCCGCCTGTCGAGCCGCCAGCTGAGCAAGGGGATGAAGACGGTGAAGAAGGCGCCGACGACGTAGGGCGGCACGGTGAGCAGCTGCTGGCGGACGGGCGTGGAGCCCTCGAAGAGCGTGGCGACGATGGTGGGCGCGAAGAAGGCGAGCCCCTGGACGGTGATGTTGTTGAGGAGGAAGATGAAGGCGGTGGTGAGGGTGACGGGGTTGAGGATGCCGCGCCTGATCTTTGTCTTGTCCATGCTGTCGAGGACGGAGGTGACGCCGACACGCTCGGACTTGACGCGGGCGATGGCGAGGTCCTTTTCGGGTTGTGACAACCAGCGGGCGGTTTCGGGGCGGTCGGTGAGGGTGAAGAAGCTGACGATGCCGAGGCCGATGGTGATGATTCCCTCGACGACGAAGATCATGCGCCAGGAGCGCACGCCGCCGACGTGGTCGAGCTTGAGGATGGCCGAAGCCAGGAGGCCGCCGAAGGCGCCGGCGAGGGGCGACATGACAATGTACAGGGACAGGCGGAAGGCGAGCTCGGAGCGGCGGTACCAGCGCGAGAGGTAGTAGGCCGTGCCGGGCATCATGCCGGCCTCGAAGATGCCGAGCAGGAAGCGCACGCCCGCGGCCTGGCCCATGGTGTCGACGTAGGCCGTCGCCAGGGAGCAGACGCCGAAGAGGACGGCGGCGAGGGGCAGGAACCAGCCGGGGCCGACGGCCTTGCAGGTCAGGGTGGCGGGGATCTCGAAGACGATGTAGGAGATGAAGAAGATGGAGATGATGGCGTTGTAGTCGTTGCCCTGGAGGTGGAGGTCACTTGCGAGGCCGGCGATTTTGGCGTTGCCTGGCGGGAGTTGTACGTTTTGCTTTTCGTCAGAGGTGTTTTTTTTTTTTTTTTTTCTCCTTTTATAGATGGAGATGAAGGGATAACATGATAGGGGGGATTGTGTTTACCAAGGTTGGAGCGGTCGATGAAGCAAAAGAGGTAGAGCAGCGACACGGTTGGGACGATGAAGAGGTCGATCTTCAGCCGCAACTTGCGTTCGGCAACGGGATCGTAAGCAACCAGGGCTTCGCCATATCTGCAGCGCGATTGCACAAGCTTATCAGTATTCTTGTAGCCTTCATTGTATAGCCCATTCGACTCATGGAGTTTGCAAGCTTTGGTCGAGGAGTTCAGGGTCGGGCTCTCACTTATCAGTAGCGGCTTGGCCCTTTTCCGCGGCCTGGTGCACATCCCTCGTCGTGATTTCGGCCTTGGTCTTGTTATCTTGAGGGGCCATCTTGACTTTTCATGCTAAAGACAGTGATGGCTATTCAGTTCATGCGAAGGTGATTCAACATCGAGATTTGAAGACGAAAGACGACGCTCCTTCGCATGAGGGATGTAAGAAAATTTTCACCAGCGAAGGAACACCGACCCTTATAAGTACACTCACTAGTCGGCACGGATGTACGACCAACTTGCATACATTCTGTATCTGCATCAAATAATAGAAAAGAAAAAAAGAAACGCAGATCGATGCTGCTTGGCTCTGCCAAGAGAAGCGTAGCCCTCCGAGGATGTGACATGGCAGTTGTCATTGACGGATTCAGTTCCATGTAAGTCAGGGTTTTGGGGGTAAGCTGGCCTCGCATAGTAGTACATTGCATTACATTACGTTAACTTGACTGAGAAGGGCGGGTTGGAAAATGCAACCCAAGGCGAAAGAAAAAGGCCGCTCTTGAGCTGGACCAACAACATTCTGCCTCTGCGTTTAGAGCCCATCCAACTGGCAACCATCACAGACCATAAGTCCACGAAGCTCGGTACTGGGAAACGGCTGTTGAGCATTTCTCAATCTTCCAACTCCATACAGCATAAGATGAAAGATAAAGGTGGGATACTAAAGCTAGAAGAGGCCAAGAGGCGTACGCCATCTCCGCATCTCCTCCGCATCGATGCCCCCCATTGCCGTGCTCAACCACCGAAGCTTAAGGCGGATAAAGTCGCTGCTAAAACGGCCCGCGACGAATCAGGGCCAGCAAACTTGGGTGCTTTTTCCCCCGGGATTTTTAAAGCCAAAAAGAAGAGTATGACATGGAGATGGAGATCGGGGCACAAGACCAAGGGGGAGGTTTCGATCCAGGACTACTCAATTGGGGGCTATCCAGCCATGGTTGACTTGGCATAGTCTACCTAGTATAGGGGCATTTGCTTGAAATGTCCTAGGTTGGAACGTTGGACCTCGAGGATCTCAATCTTTCCGGCCTCTCTTTGTGACGAATATGAGCGTTCACATAGGGGACATGAAGCCGGCAGGGTAGCTTCCGGTTCCACGCAAGAACACAAGGCCCTGCGAGACCTGGAAAGAAGTCGACGCTGCCTCATTCACACAAGTACACGTTCTGCGCAGGGAAAGAGGCGTATAGCTTACAAGAAACCGGAGTAGTAATGATAACTCAGACGCAGGCAAATGTATGTTGGTTGAGGCCTGTAGCAGCGATGTACAACTACGACTCCGGACGGAGTAGCGTCGCCAGTTACAGCAGTATGCCCCTTGTCCGGATGCATCAGGGCGGCGTGAGAGATGGATGCCTGCGTGGCTTGGGTCCTCTCATCGGCGATGTGACGCTGTGTTGGCTGGCATCACGATAAGCCGGAAAGGGGGGATCCTGGTTGTTTAGCTGATGGGAGAGGTTCGGCGCTATGGAGACATGTAGTAAGTTGATGCAGATGATGGCATGGAGGTTGATGAAATCTCATTTGAATTGCCGTACGAAAGCCATCGATATCTTGACGTAATGGAAAGCTCACTTCTCGTTCCAGAAGAGGTGAGGCAAGGCAAGGCAGGATTTGAGGAAGTGAAGCACATCAACAGCACAGCATCAGATACTAGAACTACTAGACTAGTAGTCTACTGGACTTGAATCAACAACAGCTGCATACAGATCCCCCGATACCAATCATGTTTCCTCCAAATTAGACTACATTAGTTCAAGGCCAAAATAGCTAGCAGCCGTGTCCTGCCTGCATCGGTTCATGCAACAATAGCAAATGGCCAACCTCCAGGGTAGCTTTGCATCTCACTATTCGCCGTTCAAACTTCCAAACTTGCCACCGAAATCGTCCAATCCTGACGCCGTGAACCACCAGTAGGCAAATCATGTACAAATCACCAATCAATACCTTACATAGAACAAAAAAAAACGAACGATTGGCAGCATCGATCCACGCAGATAGTCTGATGGAAGAGCCCCATCTTCAAGGCTGTAGCCACATGCTTGGAAATATCGCAGCGCTGATTGGCTGAACGCCACACCGCGGTCTGCGAGCCAATCAGCATCAACGCAATTTGACCCAAGGCGAGTGTCATCCCCCAGAGGCGTCGAGGCTGAACTGGGCTGAGCTTCAGGTACAAAAGACGTCACTGTCCGTCCACGGTTGGCTGAATTGGTCCAGAAGACATCAAGCAAGCATCTCCATCTGTTCACAGCCCAGCATCATCTCCAATTTCTTTCAACGACCACCAAGTCCTCACAGTCCTCATCACACACGCACACAAACAACCAACACCACCAAAATGACTGCTGCCAAGGCCTCCACCTGCTGCCGCCAGGGCACCGACGCCGAGTGTGCCTGTGGTAAGTCTCAAGCCGCCTCAAATCAATTTATTTCAATCTAACGGCATCACAGCCCAAAAGGCCACCTGCTCGTGCGGCAAGCAATCCGCCCTTCACTGCACCTGCGGCAACGCCCCCTCCGAGAATGCCGTCGATGGCCCGCGCTGCTCGTGCCGCGCTCGTCCCGCCGGCCAGTGCACCTGCGACCGGGCCGCCACCGAGAACGCGCCCGTTTCAGGCTCGACCTGCCAGTGCGGTGCTCGACCAGCCAGTAAGTGACATGCGTCCCTTTTTGTAGCCTCTGCTCCAACGCGAGGCTGGGTGGATGAAGTTTGTGTGTGCTGACTTTGGGCCGTGTGAAGCTGCGTGTACCTGCGAAAAGGCTGCTGATGGCGGCTACAACCCTGCCAACGAAGTCGACTTTACCAACTACTCCAAATAAGAGGACAGACAGTCTGCTGGGAAGTGCACTGCTAGAAGCACTCACGGCATCTTGCATGGCCTTTCATGTTACTACTATCTTCCTTGCGTTAATTCATTTGGGACTCGGGTCAAGGGCGGCGTTCAGGGCGGGCAACGGAATGCGGGACTACTGCTGGTTCTTGGTTTGGCTGCAGCGATATATATGGGGTTGCATGCATCTTACACATTACATTACCTTAGGCACGGGAGACTGCCCGCTTCGTGCTTGTACACATGACATGGATTTTGGCAGGTCGGCCGTCGCCTAATCTGCGGGCACACTGGCTATTTCGGGCTGTGCCATTGTTGTCGTTGTCGTGCTGCATCAGAAATGGCACACTGACACTGGGAAGGGCGTTTTGGTGGCACCACGTTCCCTCTGAGGCACTGGATGCTGCGGTGGACGAATCATGTGCTTGTAGCAACAGACCATCCGATCAATCATCAATCAATCAGTTCCATCAATACAGAGATCAGAGCAGCGATAACGGAAACTTGAGAAGAGGCTCCAACTGACAAGTCGCTCGTGAGCAGAAAGTGAGAAGCTTCTGAATCAGTCTCATTCAAAGGTCAGCACAATCGTGTCTCTTGCTGGTTGAATGTTGACGTCCGACTGCGATTCACCGCCCGCGGGAGACGCTGGACACGCCGCTGATTGGCTGTGGCCGCTTTTACTGCCGGACAAATCAAAGGCGGTCAACCGCTTTGGGCAAGAGCTGTGGGAGAGTTCCTACCTTGTGTGGGGCCACTTCTCTGTGCCACCCACCAGGGCTGGGCAAAAAATCTCACCTTTGTCGCGTCCTGCCATTGATGTCAGCCGCTCGTATAAAATAACTGCGATCCCACAGACCACGGCCAGCTTGCGCCTTTTTGCCTCTTCATCATCACCGAATCTTCCTGTTTTTCCTGTCTCTGCAGCTTCGCACAGCTTCTAGCGCTACAATTGAAGTTTCTTCATTCCTCACTGCGCGGCTCAGCAGCATCCCGACCCCCTTCCCCTTCCGCCCCCTTCGCTTATCAAGCAGCAACAACAACAACAACAACAACAACAACAACAACAACAACAACACCACCACCAGCCATATAAAACCAGCGCGTCGCCATGCCTCCCAAAGCAGCAAAGGCCGCTGCCTCCAAGGCGGCTTCCGATGCCAAAAAGCCCGCCGCGACCAAGGCCGGCGCAAAGGCGACTTCCAAGACCGCCGCCGCCTCCAAGGTGACAACAGCCAAAGCCGCCAAGGCCGTCAAGAAGGAGCAGAAGCCGGCCAAGGCGGACGCGAAACCCACCAACAAGGACAAGAAGACTAACGCCAAGGTTGACGAAAAGGCCGAAGACGAGAAGCCCGAGACGAATGGCGTCGCCCCTACCAAGCGAAAAGCTTCAGAGACCGAGAGCGAGAATGAGCAGGACGTCGTCGTGGAGGAGCCCCAGCCCAAGAAGACCAAGACGGAAAAGGCGCCTCGCGCCGTCGCCGTTCCCAAGGCCAAGAAGTCCGCCTACCCCGAGATTGGAAAGAAGATCAACGACGCCCCCACCCAGATTCTGGACATTTACGTCTTCGGCGAGGGCACCTCGGGCGAGCTTGGCCTGGGCAGCAAGCGCGTCAATGGCAAGAAGCCCATCGATGTGAAGCGCCCTCGACTCAACGAGAACCTCTCGGCCAAGACCGTCGGCGTTGTACAGATTGCGTGCGGCGGAATGCACGCTGTCGCCCTCACCCGCGACAACAAGATCCTCACCTGGGGCGTCAACGACCAGGGCGCTCTGGGTCGCGACACGACCTGGGAGGGCGGACTCCGCGACGCCGACAAGGCTGACGACTCCGACTCGGAAGACGAGGACGACACCGGTATCAACCCCAAGGAAAGCACGCCCATTGCCCTCTCCGAGGACAACTTTGCGCCCGGCACCAAGTTCGTCCAGGTCGTTGCCAGTGACAGCGCCTCCTTCGCGCTTACGGAAGACGGACGTGTCTACGGCTGGGGCACCTTCCGCTCCAGCGACGGCATCCTGGGCTTTACGGAGAACGTCAGGGTCCAGACGCGGCCTGCGCTCATTGCCGGTCTGAAGAACATCAAGGCCCTCGCCTCCGGCGCCAACCACATCCTCGCGCTCGACCACAAGGGCAACGTCGTCGCCTGGGGATGCGGCCAGCAGAACCAGCTCGGCCGCCGCATCATCGAGCGCAACAAGATGTCGTCTCTCGTCCCCCAGGGCGTCGGCCTGCCCCGAGGCAAGATTGCCAAGATTGCCTGCGGCTCGTACCACAGCTTCGCCATCGATAAGGACGGCGCCGTCTGGGGCTGGGGCCTGAACAACTTTGGCGAGATTGGAGTGGAGAGCAACGCCGGCGAGGACGACGCCGTCATCCTCAAGCCCGTCAAGATCACCTTCCTCGCCGACCACACCGTCACGAGCATCGAGGGCGGCATTCACCACTCTCTGGCCTGCACCGAGAAGGGAGACTTGTTCACTTGGGGCCGTGTCGATGGCTACCAGGTTGGCTTTGAGCTCGAGGAAATCGACAAGGTGGACGAGGACTATGTCATCCGCGACGAGCGAGGAGCTGCTCGAATTCTTGTCAAGCCCACCAAGCACGAACGTACGTTTTCCATCTACCTACCTCTTTGACTACTGTATGCACGCATATTAACCTCTCTTTCAGGTCTCTCCGACATTGTTGCCGTTGCCGCCGGTACCGACAACAGCTTTGCCATCAGCAAGGACGGCAAGGCCTACTCGTGGGGCTTTTCGAGCAACTACCAGACGGGCCAGGGCACCATCGACGACATCCACGTCCCTACCCTCATCGACAACACTGCCACGAGAGACAAGAAGATCATCGGTGCCGGCGCTGGTGGACAGTACTCCGTCCTCATTGGCCTGGCCGAGGATGTCCCCGCGACCAACGGCGAGGTGAATGGCGCCCACTAAGTCATCGACCTCAACAATCAACATACCACAATAGACACAGAAAAACACAGAAAAACACAAAAAAGGGCGTGAAAGACATTTGAGACGATATTTGGCATCATGCTTCAAGCTATATAGCCCGCGGTGCGGAGTTCACGAGATCCCACAAGGAGCGAGGGAGCTTTGCCAAGGGCAGCTCCACATCAAGGGACTTTTTTCTTCTTTTTGCATGCGTTTGGGTTCCGCCCTCATTGTCTCGCCCGCAGAGATATATTCGAGGGGAAAAGTCCGCTTGACGGACGGAGGCTTTCTCTCACTGTCACTCCATACAGCATGGGTGACGTGGTGGATTTCGAGTGACGAACTTATATATAGATGTTTTGCATTGTATAGCTGCAGTCATGACCATTGCGTTTTGTTAGGCGTTGGTGCTGCCACTTTTTGCTTTTTACTAGTTCACTGATGTTTTGAGGAGGAGCTTCTCATATAGTAATAATACTGCTGGTTCTTTCTCCAAAATTGTTCATGTTTTGATGCAGGGTATGTGAAGAAGGCTGCACATGATTCTTGTCTCCTCTACGAAGACGGCCGAGATATGCGCGCAGATGGCTATTCTGTCGGGAGAACTCTACGCTTTACAAGGGCCGAAAAGTTTCATGACCTTCTTTCTAAGAGGCCTGCCGATTGGAATCTCGCAGACGTCCTGCTATGTTTTTGGGGGTTTGGAGACACGCGACTGGCGGACTGACTGATGGCAGCATCGCGGTGACAACACCAGAAGGACCTACGAATATGTCCTCATCTACAGAACGTGTGGTCAATCTGAAGCATCGCTGATAGCAAACCATCAAAATTAAAACGGCGAATCTACCTACTTTCCAACTTCACGACACACAAACCCCCACCGGGAACATCACAACAGCCAAAGGCAGAAAGGCGTACAAGCAACAACTACTACTGCGAAGTTGCAATGAGTGAATGAAGTAGTAGAAATAACACGCCTACACTTCTGTCCCCTTTTACCTCGGCATGGAAGAATAACCACGAGGGAAAAGACAAGAGAAAAAACGCTTGGCATCGGGGCCATCAAGGTTGGGGGGCCTAGACTCAGATCTTGGAATCTCTCGCCCACGATTCCGTGTATCTCACGTTCTTACTCGTTTTGGGCGATGGAAGCTTGGGGTGCGGAAAACGGAGATGGATGGAAAGGGGGAGGAGAGGCCAGGGCCAAAAGGCTGCGCATCTCCGGGAGGGGAGGGGGCGTGAGTGAGCATGGGAGAGGAGCATTTGAGAGAAAAGACGGCAACATGGACAAATTTGAACAACATAGGACAGAGAGGATGCTGTGTGTCTGTGTGTGTTCTATGTGTTTTGGCTTGACCGCTTGGGTGTGTAAGGGGAGAGAAACAGCAATGTGGTGGATTTTTGCAGATTGATGGAAGTTGGACGGGAGGGCGTTCAATTCATTCGCGGTGAGAGTTTGACCGCCCCTGGGGAAAGGGCTTGGCGGTGACAGCCTTGCCGGAGGAGCTGGAGACGGAGCTGCAGCCAGCTTGTCTTCGCTCGCTTGAGGGGGAGTGGTGGTGGCAATGGATCGGTCAGGAGATTGATTGTGAAGATCCAATCTGCGTTGTCTTTGTGTATGTAGAAGGTAAGGGACCTGTACGTATGTAGGTGAATGGCCGAGGCGGTAAGAGATTGATGAAGCATCATGTAAGGTGGCAGTAGCTCGTAGGAACAAATTCTCCTATCGGGGCCCCCGTCTCTCTGCATGTACTACTGCATGCAGACTGGATCGCCATCTGGAAGCCAGCAAAGACAACCCCCCAATGTTCTTGGAAGGTTTTTGCCCGGAGAGAGAAGACGGAAGAGAATACATAGACGACTGGCCCCCGCGGGCTTGCACACCGCTGCCCTTCTCCAGCCGAAGCCGAGAAAGCATGGAGGAAAAAGAAAGGCAGCAAAAGCAAGCAGCAACGAGAAACAAAGTGGAGATTGGGCCTGGCTTTGTGGAAGCGAAGCGCCAAGAACTGGAGCGAATTTGTTCCAGATTCCAGAATCTTTCTCGGGCTAGCATGGGGGGGGGGGGGGGGGGGGGGGGTCGGTCCCCCGGAGAGAGGAAACGGGGAGAAAAAAGGACGGAAATCAAAATCCATTGGATATGCAGGATTGCGGCCGAAAAGCCCACGTGCTCTGCGGGCTTGCTTGCTGTACGATACAGTAATAGGGGGGGAAACGGTTTGGAATACTACTGCTCGCACAAGGGAAAGGTGCTGGGTAGCTTTCATGGGAGGGCTCCAAGTTTCCTTGTGGGAACTTGATTGCTTCAATAGTACAGTAGATAGAAGCAACAGACGAGGCAAGCAAGGGCAAATTACGGAGCACGCATGGGCACCACAAAAGCCAAGACGGACAACCGAGATTTGAACTGGAGAACCAAGGAGCAGGGGGGATTTTGGGACGTCTGCCGGCTTCTACGGTGAGGCGAGCGCGGGAGAACATGGAAGACGAAGAAGACGCGTTTGGATTCACCCAATGCAAATAGTACATGAGTGGCAAATTGAACTTTGCCTTACAAGTTCCAAAGTCAACAGAAGAAACGTGGATGCCCTGGGTGTACATACGACACACACTGTGATAACGGTCGGTACCTGCATCAGCTCGGACGATCCAGGGGTATGCTTGGACATGGGACATCTCATGGAAGGCGATCCAATAGGCCGAGAAAGCTTTTGATAGCTTGGGAATCTTGAGGTTCGCATTTTCAGGGCGAAAGCCGGACGGACCTTGTTTGACGGCAGATGGGCGGGTGGTGTTGCGCCATGGCCGTGCGTTTTCGGGGTCGAATTGGATGGGCGTCCAAGGTGCCTGTGTTCCGCAGTGGGTTTCCCCCATCTGAGGCGGACGGTGAAGGTGGACGGTCACGGCAAGCTGAGACGTTTCGGTGATGGGGAACCGTCGAGGATGGAGCTTGGAAAGATGGGGATGGGAGATGGAGCTGAAGCTGAGGCTGGTGGACGCATTCGACACAGAAAGAAGAGGGCTGGGGGATGGATGGGGAATCTCGATCCGTCATGGAAGTGCTTCGAAAGGGACTGGCCTTGGCCATCTCGTTGTTTTGTCAAGATGGAAGACGAGAGAGAGGAAGAGGCAAGGGAAACGAACTCACAGACCTCCTGACACTCACCTGAAGAGTCCTATATTCAGTATACGAGCCCATCGATCCAACAGATCACCACCCATCTAGTTCAAGACTATCGTATTCCAATTCCTACCTGTAACTTTTCTATCATTAGCTACATCCGCGAACACCCATCCAAACCGATATAATTCCCACAATCAAACCGCAATCTTAAACTGAAAAGGCAATCCGTCCGTCGCGTCGTTTTCTCTCCGTTTCCCTGCAATTTACGCGTCTGATTCCCCTAACGCGGGCGGCCGGCTGGCTCGCCGTGTTACAGCCAAAAAAAGAGCGTTCAATGTTGCCCGCACCTTTTCGCCACTCTCCCTTTTTCTTCGCGCAGTACGTCCATGCGAGTATTGGTTCCTGAAAATAGAAAAGCCGACTTGACATCACTGGCTGGATCTCAAACCAAGCGCTCCAAAAGTGTGTTTCGTACCTTGCATTGCCGGGTGGCGCGGACAGAACGGTGATCGCTCGGAGAATTGCCACACACACACATGTAAGGTAGGTATGTATACCGTATACTATACGGAGTACACACAGTTTTTTGCTTTCGACTTCCTTTCGCTTCCGTATCAGAACCGTTTGATCATCCTGTCTGCTTGCGTATGCTCGTCTCCTTGAACCAAGCTGCGTTGAACGTCTACTCGGTCGCCTAGGCAGATGGAACATGTCACTGCTTCATTCGACGGGCCAGTAAGAACAGAAAGATTCATGTTTCCGATGCAGTGCCCGGCCGATCTTCAATCCCCAACCCCCTATTTTC